ATAGAGTGAGTATTTATGGGTCCTCCCTTGTACATATTATTTTGGAATAAGAACCTGCTTCAACAGAGGCGGATCCAGAATTTCGGAAAGGGGTGGTTTTGAAAAGTGACTGCTATTTGGAAGAGAACTTTGAATAATTAGACACATTTTCTTCTCCAAGAATGAATAATATGAGAAAATAGTTTGAATAAAATTGTTGAGTTCTCCATTTTATGTACCAATTCTTGGCACTTATATTTTTCATTTATAAAGATGATTCGAAGACCAGAAACCAATATTTCAAAGCTTTGGACAATTTAATCGAAATCTGATGAGTAAAAGAGCGCAATACTCTAAAATTTTTATGAAAAAAAATTGTCTATTGTTCTGAGTTAATTGTCATTTCTGAAGTCAGAATGTGGAGCAAACCAATCTATGGTCGAAATATCCAAAGTGCACTTGATGCGGTAAGTTAGTGTCGACCAAAATATTTTCAAGCTTGGAAATTTTTATCAACAAGTTTAACTTATGAAATTAATTGAGTAACATTTGAAAATTTAAATAATATTTTACAAGTTTTGCCAGAACAACAGCAAACCCTGAACAATTGTTTACGACTATAAGAAGAATCGAAAACTATTATAAATTATATTTTGTATATTAAATTATATATAATATTTAATTAAAGCTTTAAGAATTAAAAAAAAAGTCGAAAATGATCACATGACAATGTACGTAAATAATTTGTTTATTTAGATATATATTTTTTAATTGTAAAAAATCATTTATGAACCAAACTGTAGTAAGAAATTTCATTTCTAAAAACATTTGAAAAATTTTAACAACAAATATTAAAAATTATCTTCTGAATGTATAATGTTAGTGTAAATTATACACACCAGCATAGCCTTAGTAATGGCAGATGTCATGCTTCTATGCATACACATTTAACTTTGAGATAGAAATAAATATATTTGTAATATATATTCTTACTTAAGTGCTGTTTCATAAATTCTTTTGCTAGCTGACACAGGTGTATTATGAGTTTTCATTTATAATATTCCTGATTTACTTTTTAGTTCGTATTCCACTCCAATCCACTTTACTTACGAATTAATGTTTTAATAAATTTAATATGCGTCAACAAATCGTCTTTGCTGTTGTGTGTATTTACTCTTGTATACCTTTCATTTTTATTAAGTTTGCACTGGAGTAATATTCCTAAGTAAGAGCTTCTAGCGTGTTAAGGCTTAATTCTGAAGCAATGTTAATTTCGAGTTGGAAATGTGAGTTTAAATAGTATATACGTATATGTATATGAGATTAGAGATTGCTTTGAGTTCAGCCAATCTAATGAAATTGTAAATGCTACTTAAGTACAAAATACAAGTCTATCAACATTCAAATATTTTAACCAACAATTTAAGCGAAAAGAAGGCATTTGGCAAACCAGTTTCAAATTCAGTTCAATCATCACTGTAAACACATACAAATATATGTGTTTATTGAACTTCAAAAATTCAAAATGAAGTGTATAAATTATAAATTTGTTTGCTTTCAACAATATTTTTTCTAGAATCCTTCCACAACACACTTCACAACAAGACACTTACCGCATGCTTCTTGCCAGCCAACATTACGTATAAATATTTGCCAACGCACGACTTCAGCCAGTGTACAGTTCGCTTGATTTCTTCATTGCGCAACCAAATTTTTTCAAGCTCGTTGAAATGTACATTCAAAAGTGTTTTTTCATCATTTCAACCAGTTTGTCATCACCACAGTCAGTTAGTCAGTACCATGTCTGTCAGTCTCACACTTCTGCAAGTTCCCGAACTTGCTTTGGTGGCATTTTCAGAATTTCTTAAGCCAAATTCGGCTATTTTGCATATAAATTACACTTTTACTTTGGCAATATTTTCCCGTTTTATACTGATATTAGCCAGCAGTGCTTGAAAGTAGGTAAAAACATATGTATATATGTATGTATTAGAAAATACGGTTTGTACTGTTGTGTGTTTTTATTTTGTTGACTTGGAAAGTTATTTTCGTTTTTCTCTTTATGGATTTGATTAGTTTAATCGAAAGCGCTAAAAGTCTTGTGATTTATGGAACTAGATTTCATTCCTATTGTTACTTCGGCTGACATGCAGTGATACATGTTGCTAGCCCATACTTTAAGATTCTGTTATCGGTTTTGGGCTCAGCTCCGTATGCTGTTTAAGTCCTTGGAATGTTAAAGAAATTTCCGCACTTCCATGACAATAAATGGTATTTAAAAATACCCTTTAAATCGCACTTAAAGCATTGATAGGAAAAAGTAGACTCTTCGAACGTTTGATACCGTTTATTAAAAAACAATCATTTACATAAGTTTATCGTATTCTAGAACTTACGTTTAGAAAACCTTTGAAAATAATTTCTTATGGAATTCTTGTTCGAGTGGACTAAGCTAATGAAAGGTCAATCATACTCTCATACTCGTTGGCTGTGGCAACGGATTGTTACAAATAATTGAAGAATAGCCGAATATTGTCTTCTAAAGTGTCAATCGTCTCGGGCATATTTGCGTTGACAAGCGACTTAACATAATCCCAGAAAAACTAGTCCAGCGGTGGTTCCATTTTGTTGGAACCAAAGATCTTTCACATTAACATTCATTTTTGAAGAAATATGAGCAAAACCAAACAGTAAATTTTTGAAGATGTAACGGCGTCTCAACAATGGCTTGTGAATTATCATCACTCCAAGTTCAACAATTTTTTTTTATTACTGTACCCATGCAACCAAAAATTTGCTTCATTGCTTTGGGCTCTTTCACCGAACCTGCGACGGACTCGAGGATCGTTCGGCTTCAATTCTTGCACGGGTTGAATTTTGTAAGCCCGCAAACCAAGATTGTTTCGCAAAATTTTCCATAAAGTGGAATTGTTGCGCGCGATGGCGGATGGATTCATTTGGATCGTTTTCGATATTCTACTCCACAGCAGAAATAGAGTAGAGGGTGACTAAAAGATCCATGGTTGCTCGAATTACCGACACTGCTGTGTGATTAAGTCGGCCCAATATTGGACGCAGCGGGCGATTAGTCCCACGAAAGGAACCATTATTTTATTTAAAAATTTGCATAATTTGCAAACTTTATTCCGGAGTATTTCTGTTCATTATGAAATGACAAACCCAGTTGAGTATAAATTAAGTAACAGCTGTTAAAAAGACCAACTCCGATAAAAGTATTGCCGCATTGAAAACCATACATATAAAAAAAAAACAAACTTTATAATATTATAATACCCAGACATTACTTGTAGCAATAGCGTATTTCCAATCGCCCCATTTTGAACTACCTTGTGAACTTAAGAAACAAAATTTTTATATATAGCTAACTAAGAATCCATATCAGTTTCATAATACATCAATGCCTAAACAATAAAAAATCAAAAAGTTGAAGGCCATATTTTTCGTAGAAGAAGAGTTTTGAGATCCTTCGAACATGCAGATATCTGCAGATGCAGATGGTATAATCAGAAATATTCGGTAAAACAAAGTCATAGGCCTTTCTCCAAATAATAGTCCAAAATATTTATTTTCTGAGGAAAAGATATAAAATGAGATACAGTTTGTTGTTGGTTGGCTTGGTTTAAAATGGGTATCAAAGGTCCTGACGGTGTGCCATATGACGTTACTAAACTAAGGATATGGATAATGGAGAAGTTTTAGTAAAAATTAGTCGTAAAATAGTGGTACTTATAGATTCCACAATTATCAATCCAGTACTTTCTGTTTTCTTTCAATTTTTATACCCTGAATAGAGTATATTAAGTTTAAGGACACATAGAGACACCATAGAAAATATATATACATGATCAGCGTGACAAGCTAAGTGGATTATAATGCCCGTCTGTCTATCTGACTGTATATATGTATACGAATTATTCAAAGTATACAATTAGTTTTTTAGTTTTTGAAATATCGATCTGAAGCTCATTTCTCAAGTGCCCGATATAGAACCACCATAGCATATAACTGCCACACAAACTGAACAATCGGATTAAAGTGCTTGTATGAAAAGCTATTTCATTTGATGAGATATATTCAAGAAATTGGGCATGGGGTATTGGCCAAAGCAATGATGTAATCTAAGAAGAAATTGTTCAGATCGAGTCACTATAGCATATAGCTGCCATAAAAACTGACGGATCAAAATTCTTGTTAGAAATTTTTGTATATGTGAATGGTGTTAACGCTTTTTCTTGTTATAAAATGTGTTTCTTGTAATTTTTTACTGTCACAGTTAGCTAAATTTGAATCACGAATTAAGGGTTTTTTATGAAATGAATTTGCATATCCTAAGGAATAAGTAACATTATTTTTTAAGTTTTATCTACAGAATGTATATTGCATATATCTCAGTTTGATCTATATTGTAGAATATTGATATTATTAATAAATCTCTAAAAGGAATCCCCTGACTTTGTTCACACCTGCCGAAATCATAGCGCTATAGTCGATACGCTCGCTATAGTTATATTTGGTTCGCGGCTTCACTCTTTTTATAATTGAGAATTTTATCTGAAATCGAAGTAAGAAATAATCTTAATTAATCTCTCACTAACTTTTAGAGATCAAAAAAACTTATTGTTTAAATACATTTATTTAATTATTCCTGCAGCTAATAATTAACATAAAATATCGCATGCTATATTTTTTTCGTACATTCGAATAATTGAAAAGAAATAGTTGTGTTTGGGTTGCAAGCTTTATTGTGTAGTTGTAGAATAAAACCCACTTTCCAAACCCTCAGGCGCATCTGCAGCTGACACAATCTCAAGCATTGTTGCAAAAAAATAAAGTTAATCAAGCACAAAACTAAAACTAATTAATGGCTAAATAAAATAATAGTTCCCATTTTGCCAGAAATATATAAAATGTTAGCTGTTAGCTGGCGGTTAGCCCAAAATGATTTTAATGTGTTATTGTGTAAAACTTTAATTCCATAAATATTTTATGTCTTTTTTCAGATTTGCTTGAATTGACACGTGTGCCGTCAACACTTTGTGCTTTGACCTTCACAAGGTGGATCGCCCTTTGTGCGCAAGTAAGTTAAATGTATTTCTGTGTAAAATAAAATAGTGCACTTTCACCGTTCTACCATCACTTTTATTGACCTTCGCTGTAACTTTGCCATAATACTTCATTTTGACAAAGGAATCGAAACATAAATGCCATTGGCAATTTTATTGCTTTGGTTTTCGTTTTTTTCTTTTTGAAGAAAACAAAACTGATCACGGGCACACTATATACAGACACACATACATACATTCTATAAGTGTGGTATGTATATTACATATGCATTTGCGTTTTTTATACTCTTGCAACATGTTGCTAGAGAGGATAATATTTTTGTTCACCTAACGGTTGTTTGTATCACCTTAAATTAAGCCACGCCCACAAAACGCCATTAATAGAAAACCTATAAAATTGTATGACTAAGCTCCACATTAAAATATATTTAGGGCTGAAATTTTTTTTTTAAAGTGGGCGTAGCCCCGACCTCTAACAAGTTTAATCTACATATCTCCTAGGCAAAGCTATAATGAAACCCTTGTGAAAACGGGTGTGAATTTTGATTTTAATCTCGTCCACTCCACAAATAACGGTTTTGTTAAAAACTACTAAAAGTGCGAAACCCCATACCTCGGGATCTATTCCATCAATTTCAACCAAATTCGGTAGGTATTATTGTCCTGACAGTCCTACATTACAGTGAGAAAATAGGCGAAATCGGTCAAAAAACACGCCTACTTCTCATAAAACACAATTTTAAATTCCATGTGATTCTTTCACATTTCAGTATACAAATTAAGCACCAATGAATATATGGAGCTACACTTTTGCACGAGTAGGGTCTTTAAAGTGTGCCACCTTATGATCAAAAATTGTCAAAATCGGAGTCAAAATGGAACTTTTCCCACAGTTCCCACAGCGAACATTTTATTGAAAATATTGGGCAATCTGTGAGATATATTATTGAAAGGCAAAGGGGAGCCTTTCCTGATGAAAGCATAATTGTATGTCAAAAATGGGATGCGAACATATATCTAATATAAAGATTTTCGAATTGACTTTATACCGCATAAATGTGGGTTATCTTAATGAGAATGAGATATCGTGTTTTTCAAATAACTGTGAATTTTTGTGAAAATATTGCCTATAATATAACTGTATAATATAATTTCCCATTCCATTAAAATTATATTATTAAGTTATATAATAAGCAATATTTTCACACCCGATTTCATTAATTTTCCAGCCATTCACAATTTCGTCGAACAATGAATTTTGAATTCTTTCGTAACACTTAAAAATTTTTGTTTTGTCAACAACTGAAGCTATTTCCGGCGATCGCTTCTTGGAAGTTGCAAGAGTATGAAAGGTTCGGTTTCAGCCGAACTTAGTCCTTCCTTACTTGTTACTCAATACTTGTAAATTTATTCAATATCCAACAAATGTTGTGCTAATGTATTTGTATACAAATACTTACTACATACATATGACTTGTAGGTGTATGTGAAGTCAAAAAGTGTATGATTTGCATAATTTGTGATGTGGAATGAATTTCCGTTAAGAATACTTGTAAAAATGTTTATAGTATAGGCCTCACACGGGACAGCAGCACATTGTTCACACCCTACAAAAAAATTTGCAAGTAATCAAGTAAGAGAGTACATCCGTCTTTTTTTCCCTATAGGGTACAATTGGGAATGAATAAGTCTCGAATACATATCGTTAAAATACAATTGGGCATTAATTAGTCCCAAATGAATATAATCATATAATAACTATATAGTTGTAAATGTTAGAAGTCGAGAGAATGGAATAAAAGATGATTGGTCCATAAAACCTGAAAATATTTAGCTTCTTACAAAAAGTTACATTTAGTGTTTTCATAGAACATACTTAAAGAAAAGGGGAATATTTCGGTAAATATGTGGGCTAGTATTATTATTATTTTTGCATTAAATTGAATGCTTTTTTTGCCATAGTAAGAATGATCTGATTTAGCGCAAATACGCAACGATTGATTCGATAACATTTTGCCATTCTGAAGGTAATTTAAATGCCACTCTCATATAAACTTTTGTTCCTATTGGCAAACAACTGGTATTGTCGATTTTCACATGCTTCTCTTGAATCAAAATTATTCGTCATATACAGGAATGGGTGGTAATCACTTAGTGCCAGGTCCGGACTATAAGTGGATGCATAAGAGCTTCCCAACTAAGCTGCAGGAGCTTCTGGCTAGTCTTTCATGAAATATAATTGATTGAAACATTGAGATACAGATTGCCAAACCCATCTATTGGGAAAATACGGAATTTCTTTTATTAGACCTTAAATAAAATCATCTATAGTCACATTCGTTTAAGGTTCTTGGCCAACAAATCGTGAACACGTCCCGGACTTGTTGTAGTTTTTGCAGGGCATTAAAGTAATCAGGAAGAATATCAGTCTACAACTGTCCGGAAATTTGTGAATTATTTGGTGGTCGAATTAATATTTTTCCAATAAAATTTTGAAAACCTTGAACCCAATTTCAATTAAAGGTGGTATAGGAAATACATGTTGAACAAGACATTTGTGAATATATCATACATGATACATTTCTGGACGAAAGCTAATAGTTGAGATCTTTCGAGTTGCCAATACAAAAAATATCAATTGCTTCGTTAGAGAAAAGTGTGCTGTCTACTTGGGCTTGTGGTTCATATGTTACTAGTTGTCTATTAGTTTATAACTGCAGAGTACTTTTATACATAAATATAAGTGTACAGGTTTTCTGGTTAGTATTGACGTAGAAATGTGGAATTGATTTGCATGCAGAAAATATGGTTATGGGGCTCTTAGTGCTACTAAGTCAGTATGTTACGCAATGAGAAGAGAATTGCTTGAACTTGCAAACAACGCACAAATACTTGCTCATATACTTATATGCAAATATGTACAATAAATATTGATGTTTAACTTGAGAATACCACATTCAGCGTGCAGGAGTGAGAAAAAGGTGAGACTTACTTTGACGGCATGTAGTTTTTTTTATGTTCATACGCATACTAAGAGGTAAATATAAAGATATACGTATTATATATATGTACATATGTATCAGTATGAGTAATATTATAATATTTACTTTAAAAAAGGTGGCAACTTGCTAAGCAAATATCTCGTAAAAACGGCAGATTCGCTGTTTTCAAACGGCTTGCGCTGTGATTATGTCATTTTCGTTTACTCATATGTTTCGTTTGCGCGATATTGTTAAAGTTTGCTGGGAATATGTATATTTTATTTCAACGCAGTATGTATAGCAATATTTATTTGAAGCAAGTGAAATTTGTAAATGTAACATTTTAAAAGATAATAATTTTTTCTGTGAATAATTCTTTTTTAATGCTATTAAGAAAAGTCCAATTCTTGCGAGAATCTGCCATTAGTCATCTAATTTCATATATGGTTTCCTTTTTCGTAGGAAATGTAAATATTTAAACTTCGCATTCCTTCCAATTAATATCGCTATTTCCTGGATGTCTAGAGTCAATACATACAATATTTTAATAAATTGCTTGAAATTGTCCAGACTACTCTTGAATCTTCTAAAGCCACAGTGACTGGTTAAGAGTCAGATTTTTTTTTATCAGAAAGATTTTTATCTCTTCATATTAGCAAGCTAATAACACCACCTTTGTCGGTCTGATTTAAGCGTCTAGTTTAGGGATATTTGTCGTATTTACTTATCATGGGTCTTAATTCCATCCGATTTTATTTATCCAATTTGGTTTTGTTTCCGTTATTCTGAATATATTTAATTTTTTATTAAAAAAACTTTCAGTTTTGAAATGAATCTCGTAATAATTGGACTTTCACTATATCTAGTCTAGGTATTATTCGATGCACTTACCAATAGCAGTGGCTATAAGACTATGTATATTGTACGTTTTTTTCTCATTACTGACATAACATTGATTCGAGAACTATTTTTAAGATTTATGCTTTAAGAACTTATACTGAAAAGTAAGTGAGAACCTGAGAGAAGCAAGCAAAATACAAATTAGGAAGCCTAGAAGTATTAAGTTTCTTTCAATCAATTGATTTTGCTTATTCTTCACCAATTTCTGAGATTTTTATTACTTCAGTCCAAGAAATTGAGCCAAAACTTCAAAATAGGAAATCCTCTATTATTTCCCGCCATAACATTTTAGAATTGCTATATATATACGAAGAAACCTGTTAATTCGGATAAACTCAACATAATCTACAAATTCACGAACAGTTTTTGAATTTTATTATGTCATTCGTAATTTAAATACTTTCAAGTTAAAAGAGTTTGACATGGTGGTGCTTTAATCCCTTTGAAAATGTGCACAGCACTGAAGTACTTATGTATGTACTTACTCATATAGACTATAAACCATATGTAAGCGTTTGCTAAGTGAAGTTTCGTGTGTAAGCATGTTAGTTTACCAAAAACTAAAATAGTTACTCAATTATTATTAAATAAAGAATAGCAGCCGTAGCTTACACATACACTTGCACTTATAACGGTAGATATACACATGTGTGTACACAACTTCAAAGGGATTACAGCAAAAAGCTTAATTTCGGCGAGTAAGCTTATCCGCTCAAAATTTGTATGGGTGTTTGAGACTTGCTGCTTATGTAACTAAGTTCATATACAAATATGTATATATGTAGATGTGTGTATGTATGTGCTAATATATATGCACGCATTGAAAACTATTTACAAAAAGGTCTAATTAGCCAGTTTACGTCAATCCTTTGCCAGCGCTCGCTAAGTGCAAGTGCATTAAAGGCCAAATCCTAAAGAATTACCACAGCACGCGTTTGCTTTCATTTTATTTAACGGTTATGCTTGCTTTTTGGAGGCTTTAAAAGTGCTTAACACACTGGCTGACAGCTTGACTGGCGTGTGTGTATTAAATGCGCATTAATAAGAGCTCGATGCAAGTGTGTGAACGTATGTGTTAGTGTATATGTGTGTGTGTACGCGAGACAGGAATGTTTTGTCTTTTTCTTTCATAT